TTAATGGCAGTGCTTTTCTCCTGCCAAGAGAAAATTCAACTGGTAAGGCCGCAAGGATATGTAAATGTCTAAGATGTGCTTGTATATGCATTATACATTATTGCCGTGGAAGTAACTGGTGTACTGCCTCACTTTTTAGACATGTAATCACCTTTCTATGTGCATGCATAATATGGCTCCCTCCAAAGATATGATGAACTTTACAAGTCCCTTTCGTTTAAACCATCCAGAACTCCTGACAAATTACATTTCTGTTTATATGATATTTAGGTGGTTGGAACCCTTTATACGCACCATCAGAAGTGTGTGATTGTGGACACACAAGCCAGTGGCAACAATCGGAAGATTACAGCTTTCCTTGGTGGTCTAGACCTCTGTGATGGGCGTTATGATACACCTGAGCATAGATTATTCTGTGATCTTGACACAGTCTTCAAGGATGATTATCATAATCCAACATTTTGTGTGAGTATTTTTGACTGGTGGTTTAGACCTCTGTGATGTGCAATGTGATACAGCTGAGCTTACATTCTTTTAGTAACCTTGACCTGCCATGTTGAGAATATTCCTGCAAAGATATACTGTAGCATATTAGGCAATTGAAAATCTATTTCTTTAAGAAATTGATATTTTAGTTTTTTAGTTATCTTGATCTTTTACAAGCATATAAAATGATGCTATACTTGTTCTCTGAAAATCTATTTCCGAGTGCTCTCTTTGGCTTTCCTGCTAGAGATGTACATATTATCTTTTCAATAGGCAGGAACCAAGGGACCTAGACAGCCATGGCATGACTTGCATTGCAAGGTTGAAGGACCTGCTGCATATGATGTGCTCACAAACTTTGAGCAGAGGTGGAGAAAAGCCACAAAATGGTCAGAGTTGGGAAGACGTTTAAAAAGGATATCTCATTGGCATGACGATGCTTTGATCAAAATAGAAAGAATTTCTTGGATTATTAGTCCTTCCTCTTCTGTTCCGAATGATGACCAATCTTTGTGGGTTTCCAAGGAAGAAGATCCTGAAAACTGGCATGTTCAGGTTCATAAGAACTAACGTTTGCTTGACAAAGTAAATTATTGAGTTATTGATTAGGTTTAAGTTAATTCCAGCTAATATTGTTGTTTTAATGTTTATAGGTCTTCCGATCTATTGATTCAGGGTCTTTGAAAGGATTTCCTAAAGATGTTTTTTTGGCTGAATCACAGGTGCATATTCTTGTAGCTTCTTGTTTCTTGAAGTCCATACTGAAAGTTGGCTATCACATGCCACTTGTATATAGCTTTATTGAATTTGTTTAAGTTTCTTAATGGCAAAGGTCTTTGGTATTTCTGTCACTGCAGAACCTTGTCTGTGCAAAAAATTTGGTGATCGATAAGAGCATCCAAATGGGATATATTCAGGCAATAAGACAGGCACAACATTTTATCTATATTGAGAATCAATATTTCCTTGGGTCATCATATGCTTGGCATTCATACAAAGACGCAGGTTTCTTATTGTCACTATTGCAGTTCCTAATCTTACTTCCCATTGTTTATCTTCTTTTGTGCTTTTGGATTGTCAAAGTAAAGTAAGAACCATAACTGAGTTGATATATTACACAAAAGCCAATATTTCTGGCAAAATGTAACTTTTTCTGATTCTCTGTTTGGAGGGTTAGGAGGAGGCTTAGGTGGAGGGTGAATAAGCTTGACTGGAAGGGCCATTTACCTTGTGTAGTTATGAATAAATAACAGAGCGACGTAAAACTGTAGGCAATGGAACCCTTCCATTTCAAAAGTTGTGACACCTTCAATTGTTGAGAGAAATGTTGTGATATTGATGACAACTAGTTAAATTACGCTCATAGTTCAAATCCCACTACAGGCAAAAGAAAAGGTGATTTCTTTCCATTTGTTTAAGCCATTATGGATAGATTTAGCCGGTACCTATTATGGCTAGGTCGCACAAGCAGGTATGGGAGGATTATCTGAGGTGCTCACAAGCGTGCCCAGGCATTACCATTATACATATATACATATACATATATCAATTACCCATACTAAAATATTTTCCTTATCAGAAAAAAAATTATTTACCCCTATTAAATGTATTTTCAAGTTCTGGAAACATTCTGTCAAGTTTTGGAAGTGTAAGATAGGAAGAAGCTAGATTTTTCCTTGTATTTTCCTTTACACTTACCGAGTTTTATGGAGATAAACCTTTTTCTTTTAAGTTAACAATGTCAATCCACTGCTTCTCTTTCCTTCTTTTCCACTTTGTTTAACCAAACAAAGTGCTAAAAGACTTACGATGAGTTGAGATTCATCATTGCATGCGTACTGCTTCACTCAATAATGCCCATTAACACGATTCTTCTGAACTCAAGGAGCGGTATCTTAATGAGGCTGTTTGGTCTCCTAGAATACACCACTAAACATTGGTTTCCTTTGTTCTGCTTGCAACTTATTTTTTTTTAATTGATAAAACTTTGCTTATACTTTAGGTGCTGATAATCTAATTCCCATGGAGCTTGCATTAAAGATAGCCAGTAAAATTCGGGAAAAAGAGCGATTTTCTGTTTATGTTGTCATTCCAATGTGGCCTGAGGGAGTCCCCACTTCTGCTTCAGTACAAGAAATTCTGTATTGGCAGGTGATGCAGCGTACTACTCTTTAAATGTTAGCTTTGTGTATGTTATTTGACTGAGTGATTCTTTCAATAATAAAATAAGAATGTGATTTAGCTGATTAGTGGATAATTGAAATATAATGATCCAACTTTTCCGATTACCAGTTCGTAATTTGGTAATTCTTGTCACTAACAAGGCGATAAGTGAGCTAGGCGTGATAATCTGTTTAGTTTGGTGGATAATTGAATCGTTCGAGTTTATATCTACCTGAAGAAAAATGTGTTCTTTTAGGCTAAAGGCTGTTCCATTATTTGATGTTCAAGCCCCATTTACAATTACATTACAGTTCTTGTTCTTCAGTTTTCCTCTGTTTATTATGTCGATTTAGTTGTAGTTCTATGCCTGCGACGGGCGAGCTCATCAAATATTGTTCTCAGTTCCTCAAGGGTCTGTCTCCTATGCTGTATTCTCATTATCTTGTTTCCCTTGCAGAGGCAAACCATGAAAATGATGTATGGAATCATTGCTCAAGAGCTAAAATCTTCTCAACTTAAGGATGTACATCCTTCTGACTATCTAAACTTCTATTGTCTGGGTAATCGAGAAGAATTACATGGAGGATCAAAGCCAAACCCTGCTTCCTCAAATGGCGATGTGGTAGCAATCTTTCTTCTCATAATATCTGCCTATTCCACTTTCGCTAACCAATGCTTTAAAATCTATATGATGTTCTTGGAATTATTTATAGTTCTATGTGCTTAAGGATATTCTCTTTTCCTTTAGTTCTGCTATTTCTCCAACTATATGTGCTTGATTGCAAATTTGTAATCATTGAGGCAATCTTTTAAGTTAACTTAAAAAAATGTTGACAAGTGACAAGTATCCATGCTAGTTTTCTGGAATAAAGGAAATGAATGTGTTCTAACTCATGTGAAATGAAACTATTTCTTCAGCTGTAATTTTCTTCCTTTAATTTTTTTTTCTTGCTTATCTCACTAAATTGTCAGCTTAACCTCTTCACATTTTTTTCCTGCAAATAGAGTACCCATCAAGTCTTCTGTTCCCCATAATAAACCAAAAGAATATTTTTAACAACAATTTTTGACAAGTAATAGGAGCTGAGTCAAAATATTTTCCAAATTGCTTTTTGATTAGCATGGTAGCATCTGAATCTTTTTTTCTTTTATGTGACAAATATAATTTAAAAAATTTACCAACTTGATGTTGATTTACAAAAGAAAAACTCAAAAGATTCGGATTTGGTTGTATGAATCTTTAGAAATCTAAGACGTTACATCATTATAGATAGTCTTTTAAGTGCACATAATTATGAGAGTAATTCTGCCATGCCACCACTGTCATCAGATCTCAGCTTCCCAGAAATTTGGACGGTTTATGATTTATGTACACGCCAAGGGGATGATAGTGGACGATGAGTATGTTATTTTAGGATCCGCTAATATTAACCAAAGATCTATGGCTGGTTCAAGAGACACAGAGATAGCTATGGGAGCATATCAGCCTCATCACACTTGGGCTAACAAGAAAAAACATCCACATGGCCAGGTCAGTGAGTTTTTATTTCCCTCATTCTCCTTCCCAAATAAGGAAACTAGAACATTTTTGTGATGATCAAAACTAGCAAAAATAATAGCAGTACACTATTTGTTATCCATTCTAGCCAGTCTACAAAAGGATCTCCTTGACATATTTGATTAAAGTTAACAAGTGCGGCTGCAGGTATATGGTTATAGAATGTCTCTGTGGGCAGAGCATATGGGCAAGTTAGACGATTGCTTCACAAAGCCAGAAAGTTTGGACTGTGTGAAGCATGTGAATAAGGTTGCTGAAGATAATTGGAACAGATTCACTGCTGAGGAGTTCAAACCTTTACAAGGTCATCTTCTCAAGTACCCAGTCAAAGTAGATTCTGATGGGAAAGTAAGTTCCTTACCTGGTCATGAATATTTTCCTGATGTTGGTGGTAAAGTACTAGGAGCTCGAACCAATCTTCCTGATGCTTTGACCACATGACTCTTCCAGCTTTCTAATGCCCCCCATAAATTAAACCATTTTTCTAGAGAAACGGTTCTGTCTGAGTTCTGCGTCGTGTTCACTAATGTTGTTGTACCATTCTTTGTGTTTATAATGTAATAAAGCATCTTGTTCGTGATGACTTCAAGAATCCCTCCAAAAGTACAGTAACTAAAAAGATGATGTAATTTCAACACATGTACAGTGAAAATTTTCGGCCATTTGCTGTATAATCTGATCTGTGTCTGAAAGAATGACAATTTTATTCTTAAGTTTTTTCATTTATGAGAATACATTTCCTGTTTATATCACAAACTGCGACTATGTACTTGAATGAAAAATTCCATACAAGTCAGGGAAAAGGTTGAACTTATTAATTTAATAACAACATTACAGTCCAGAAAAGTTTGTATTAATCATAAAATGACATTATTTAAGTTTTACCTCAACCATGATACAATTCAAATCCCCAGCAACATCAATAAATATGCAACTCTTCTGAGTTCTCCTTACCTCAAAAAGAAGGACAATATTGAAATGAAAATGGTGAAATGATGCGAATTCAAATCAAGTTTTACGTGATACAGAGGTGAGAAATTAGTTTACAGTAACTTTGCCAACCATTCCAGCTCCCTGGTGAGGCGCACAGTAGAAGGTGTAAGTTCCTTTCTCACTCAAAGTGACAGAGTAAGTCTCCCCTGGTCCATTCAGATATTCCTCTTCAGGCATGGAAATCTTACTTACATCCACACCAGCTGGGATTTCATCTTCGTCAAATACAACGTTGTGAGGGAACCCGGCATTGTTCTTAAACGTAATTTTCTCACCGGCGCTAACACTGAAGTTTCCAGGAACAAAAGCAAGACCGCCATCATCGCTACCAAGCAACACTTCAATAGCCATGGCATTGCTAGCAAGCATTGCACTAGCAGCGGTGGCGACAACAACAGCACCGACATCTTTCAAAGATGCCTTTACGGCCAACTTGGTGACGGGGGTGGCAGCAGCCACCTTGGCGGTGGTGCTAACTCTGGAAGTTGAGGAAGCACCAGCCTTAAGGCCGGTGAAAGATGGGATAGCAACAGCAGCAGAGGTAACTGTGGCCATTGCACTAGCTATTTGAGAATTTGGAATCAAGAAAAGATGAGAAGGGGTTGAGGGGGTTTTAATATGAGAAGTTGTGGATTGAAGTACTGAAGGAAGCGGTTGATTCTTTTCATAAATGAGTGGTGTATACTTGTGGATGTTTAGGACTTTAGGTGATGAGATGATGGACTGTTATCTAATGTGAGTGGATGCTATTGGTTGATATGGATTATATTCATTCTGACGTGGATATGTTTATGTAAGGTGTAAATTGGAGGCCTCGAGTAATGTTGAACAACAAAATTGCTCCACTAGTAGAAGGAAGAAAATATAAATTTCAAGCAGTACAGTAGATTTTGATTTTGCATTATTTAACTTTTTGAAAGTCCACAATCACGGACCACATAATCTTTTGAAAATACTATTATCTTTGGCAGTAATAGATGTAACATGGAGTTTACTGTCTTCGATTTGAATAATACGTTATTATTATTGTGGTAGTAAACTAGTAATTAATATATGAATTGAGCTAAATGAAAGAAGTGGCAATTCATATTGCCATCCAATTCATTTGAAATATGTATATATATAGCTAAAAGGATTTAAAAATATGTAAATTTATGTTAAATTCAAGCCACTACCACACAGTTGGATGGGTAATTAACGATATAGAATTTCTTGTCCAATGTTTAACAAAAACTAGTAAAAGAACAAAAGTTTCCAATTTTGTGTTTCAACTTTGTGGCAGTATGTTAATAGAAATTAGTGCTCACTTTTTGCAGGTCGTAAGATGATACTGTCCAACTTCCATTTCTTATCTTCAAAAAGATGTCATTATCGGTAATTGTGTGATGTTGAATGAGACACGATTAAGTAACCAAAGCCTCCACAAAGGAAAAAGGAAAAGAAAAAAAAAAACAATTCGGTGCACTAAACTCTCACTATAAGTGGGATCCGGAAAAAGGCCGGACCACAAGGGTCTATTCTGTCTCCCTCCAAAAAGGGAGACATTTCAAAAAAAATATACTTTCCTACGGAAGATTAAGAGAAAAATTTAACATGTACACGCAAAAAAGATTATTGCGCAAATTTACCTGTTGCAGCACGATATAGTTATTTTTAGGTAACGTGGTCGTGTAAAAAAATCATTTACACTCTAAATATATAGAAGTTAAAGTATATTGCTCAATGTAGGGTTCTTTATAAGGGGAGAAGACTAACCTGTAGTTCAAGAATTGATGCTCCAGAGTCCATGCCCATTAGTAAATTGACTGATGACAGAATAAGCTAGACATTACCAAACACTTTCCTCTAAAGTTTATACTCATATTTATGCTTCTTGTTGGGTACTTTAACGTACTGCCCTTACTCCTGTTGTACTGCAATTGCACTAAGTAGTTTTTTGGTATAATCCTTTAAGGCCTCTGCCATCTAAGTGCTCTTCCAATTAACATCGTGACATGTATGACAAACCGGAGGCGGAGCTAGGTTTTTGAGTTCACTGTTCTCGAATCTCGGTCAGTAACATTCAATTGATCGGTAAGGGTTTCCCTATAAGTAAAAACTTACGCGCACAAACATGTGTTTATAAATAGACTCATCTCACTTAGTCATGGTTAACTAATACATGTTTTCACCTAATAAAATCACTTAACCATGATTAATTGATACAGTTTGGTATAAACACCCGGGTGTTTGTACTGATGGGAGACATTGAGTACCCAGTGAAATAGCGAAATAGCTAAGGTGTGTTGCAAGCTGGTCCAAACAACTGTTATCAAACATATATGTGTGTGCGCATGCACCCTTGTAGCATGGCCAAGCACAACATGATCTAATCAGATTTCTACATGCTCATCCCAAGGGACATAGCACAAAAGGATAATCTACAGCATGATAAGAGTGTTTTCATATATTCTTGTACCTTTGAAAAGCCTTCAGAGAATAGTAGTGATGANATCAGAGGCAAGGCAACTAATGGAATTCCACTGTTACACAATCCTATGGCAACAATGAGATACATACAAGATAGCGCATCTTCCTCGCCTGCTTCCCTCAAATATGATGAAACACTACAAAATCCCTTCTTCCTATGGTAAAAGTAAGGAAGAGTTAGCGCGAAGGATACTAAACCTCAGACCATGTCACCAAAGGGTAAGTAGGAAAAGCCACTGTTGGCCTTAAAATGAAGTGCCCAGTAACACAGTTCCTTCAATCAAAACCAAAATCAAGCAATCTTCTATTCTAGATAGGAAGTTCCTTATCCAAAAGATTCCCTAATATAAGCAACTGCTGCATCAAGCATCAGTTGTGCTCCGTCTTTTATTAAGTTAAGGTTGTAAGAGAAAAGCTACAAGTTCCAGTTCAAAAAGCGCTGCATCTAGAGCTGCTTTTCATTCCAACCCAGTTACAAGACTTAAGAGAACATTTTCTCAATCAAGAAAAGCAATGTTGTTGTTTTCACCCTTTCTGTACCATATACTTCTCGATTTCTCAAGATCACATCAGGCATATACAGCCAAGATGGACCAGCAAAAACATAAACTCTGGTATGACAGTCCAGAGATAAAAAATTGCTATGCTTTGCGCAGTAAAAGCTAACGGGAAGGAAGGGGGAGGAAAACAGTCTAGTTCTGAAGGGACAATGAAGATGTCATATGCTCTACTTTTACCTCATTATCTGACTCTTATACTCGACGGAGATAATCAGTACCCATCTTTTTGTTACTTCCCCCCTACAATCCCCACCATGTTCACCACAACCAACCATAGTGAATAATTTCAAACCAAAAAACACAAAGAAACTATAGAGTTAGCAAGCACATGAAAACAAAAGCCAAAACTGGCTGGAATTTTGATGTCCAAGCACAAAACAAACAGCATAGATAGAATAATCGTAAGAGACGCTTTGATTAGAAAATACGGAACAAAGTCGTCACATATAAGAATAACAGCAGCACAAACTCATGTGAAATCTAAAAACATTAAGGAGCACAGAGCCCCTCATCCAAACAAATCCCACAATAGAACTCGAAAGATTTAAGATCAACAAAGATTAGACATTTGGACATTCATATTTCAATTTGTACAGATTCAATTATTAACATAGACATATTAACAGGGTATACTTGTTATTTACAGTCACATGAGGAGAGAAATTGCCTAATAGAAGCAATGTAATGTATAACACTAATCTCTACACATCCTTCTACCAGACCTTACAAAAGGGGAAAGATGCCATCGTTGTTGTCATCATCCAAATCAAAATACTTGAAGCCAATATCATTGTCCGGATTCGGATTGAAGTTGGGGCCGACGTAGCATTTCATCTCATGAAACAGGTTTAAGTTGTCCACAAGCTTGTGAAACACATTGCATCCACAACACTGCCAAAACAAGAAACCAAACAAATTAAGTACCATATATTACAGGCTCAATAGAGGTAATAAGGTGATTGTAAGTCAAGTACCTGGACAAAAACAGTGCCATCAGTATAAGCATGGGGATTGATGGCACGAGTGGTACGTTGGCCACAGACATTGCAAGTAAAGGCCACACGCATACGCCTTCGTGGAGATTTAGTAAAGAGTGACCAAGGGAAGGTGGAAATTTGGTCTGTATTGGATTCAGAATCTGAACCAGCAGGCACGGGTGGCCCCTCCATGCCTGAGCCAGTAGTCCAGCCTCTTACATTAGCCGCACTAAGGACCAAACCCATCGCAGCATCCTGGTAAAAAATCCCAGAACAACCAACTGATCAGAACCCCGAATTCCTAAAGACCCAACAATTTAAACTTCATGGACACAGGGATGAGAAATGAACTCCTCCCATCGCCTGGGAGGTTACGGTTTCATGTTCTATTTCACTCCCTAATGGAACCTTTGTATGATCGTTCCCCAACTTTGTGAGGGGCTGAGGTGTAGTTGTTATCGTTATTCTTTTTTAGTAACCCCAAATTCACCACAAGTTCGTAAAAACAAGAATTTAGACAAAGAACGGAACTTTGAGGATGATTATTCAAAAACATTCTAGCACGATCCACCAATTGGAAAAAATCCCCACAACTTTGCGGAAACCCAACAATTAAATCAAATAAAAAAAAGGAAATTCGAGAGAGATGAATCAAAATTACCTTAAATAATTAGACCTACAAAACCTCAAAATCACCAACAATTTCGTGAAAACTCAACAAATTAAAAGAGAGAGAGAGAGAGAGAGAGAGAGAGAGAGAGAAGGAAAAACTGGGGAACTCTGAGGTTGATGAATCAAAAACACCTCTAATAGAGCAGACCCACAATCAGAACCCAAAAATTACCATAGTTTCATAGAAACCCAACAACTAAATCAAATAAAGATAGCAACTTTAATTATAATAAATCAAAAATACCGTTGGATAGAGCAGACCCACCAATCAAGATCCCCAAAACTACCACAATTTCGGGCAAACCCGACAAAATCGAAAAAGGTTACAACTTTAAGAAAGATCGATCGAAAATACCTTGGATAGAGTAGGATTATTGAGGATTGGAACGATGCTGGTGCAGTCAATGGCATCCGATTGAAAATCAGGTTCATTTCCATTATCTGAAAAAAAATATAAACAAAAAAATTTTGTGTTAGAAGTAATAAACAATGATAATAAATGAAAAAATATGAGAAAGTTTAGTGAATATACTTTTACGTGAAACGGAAAACTTGACAAATTTACGGGAAACAGAAGAAGGAAGGTCTTTGGATTTAGGAGAAAAGATGGAGAGAGAAGGGGAGTAAGACGTGAGAGTTTCCATGGCTATTACTGAAGTTTTTCGGATTTTTATTGACTTTATGTTTGCGTCTGAGCTTGTAACGAAAATGAAGCAAGAAAATTTTTTAATATACTGTTGGGTTGCCGACTTTAATAGTACTAGTTCATCAAAAATGAAAGTGGAAAATATCGCGAGCTGAAAAAGAAAGACAAGTTTACAAGAAAATAGAGAAGTTGTTATAAATATATATTATGGATGATACCTGGTATATATTAGAGAAGTTTACAAGCAGCTTACACAATAGGTTGCAGTAACAACTTACAAGCAGCTTACAGTAGCAGCTTGCAGTAGCAACTTACACAATAGCTTCCTTTCTTCCGTAAATAGAGGAGATT